TAAGAAACTGGTCGCACAAGACTACAGAAGCAGAATGACATTAGATTACTTACGTGGGATAGCATGAAATTTGAATTTACATATCTAGACATGCTAAACTATGTGATAAAAATTTTAAAATGCATATAACAATTGGATCTATATTAAGTTGATAACGTCCCTTTCAGATGCTTCCTTCTAAATGATTATACTTAGTAAATACATTAATAGGATTATTTTAATGTATTACCAATACAAACTTTTAACCTAAAGAGTTATCAACGTGAGGGGTTGAGGTTTGAATTTCAAATGTGACTAAGGCTTGCAGTCTTCTTATTCGATGAACTAGATGTTGACTTCCCACACTTGGAATATCATGGTATTAAAAACAATGGAAAAGTTCTTTCTCTAATAAATGAAATTTAAAAAAAGATTTACTAGGCTCAATGGCAATGTTTAATTAAACCCCAATAACAAAGCAGTTTTGATCATTGTAGTATCGATAGATTAGTTTTTTAAAAGAGAAATAATTTATCATATTCAATTTCCAAGCAAAAGATTGTAAAAATAATTCTTATTAAAACAACTAAAAGAAATTCAGCAAGAAAAACCTTTCCAATGATGATACTTCCACAAGCCATCCAGTCTTATTACTAGTAATTTAAAAAATGAAGTAGTCTGTCAAGAGAAAAAAAAATATGTAAAGAATAATGTATAATATCCTATCCTATTTACTAGCAATCTACATCCAAATATGATTGGAATAACACAGTATAGATTTGATTGTTAAAACGCTACATATTTCTTTGATGATTCTGATTATTACCCTGATGAAGTTCAAACAAGTTAGCTGGACAAAACGTTGGAATTATTTCAAATATAATTTCCAGATATAATGAGTTCTCTATACTCGGCGCCCAATTTTTATCAAACTATTCGTTCTAATCTTGATGAATATTTCTATATATAATTTAAAGATTCAAAATAAGGTTGCGTAAATGATCAAAAAGTCAAAGAATAATAATAAGATAAAACGAAATATGTGAAGAAGAATAATTGTCTACTTAACGAGTATGAACAAAATGAAGGACAAATTCTGAAAACAAAACAAAACATGAGAGTGGTAATAACAAGTAATTAAAAACATTAAAAGAAAGTATTAATAATTAATATACTGTGTATAAAATATTAGATGTTAGAGATATAATATCATGACAGCATTACACTTGATACTTTTGTATGTATAACTCTAATATGAACTGTTGAATTACTATCACCTCTGAAACAAAATTATTTTTTAAAGATATTATTATAATGTAGTTGGATTTGTTATTTAATATAACTAGTTTGTGAAACTGTTTAAACATTTCTACTTGTCAAACGTAAATTCGATTATGGTTTTGACTGAAATAATTAATAACCTGACTTATATAAATACTTTATAATTATTTGTTAATTAGTAATGATAATAATAATAATAATAAACACATTAGATATACCTAATAAGTTTCACCTGTTCATCTAATTAATATTAAAGAAAACTTAGTCATTTGACTCATTATCATGGATGTCAACAATCTACAGAATCAAGGTTCATTAAGTTTTTTTGGAATAACACAAAGTACAATGTTTTTGGTAATACATATAATAAAGAATACTGAGTACGACTTTCTAACTTTAAAAAAAGGTGCATTTAAAAAAATCTCTCTAAATACATTATCTCTTAGCTATTTGAAATAGACGTATGATATAGCATAACTGAGGTAATCAGAATAACAAATTGTTATCAAACTCGAAAAATTACATTATCTATTGAATGTGGACTTCTCACTAGACGTTTAGAAAACAACGTTTTTGATTTATTGTAGAAGCAAACAGACAAACAACCTTAAAAACCGTATTTCTCCTTCCAATGCTCGCTCTTTCAAATGATAACGGTCGATTAATTAGTTTAACATTAAGCAGTTATATCTTATTTTAAAATCACAGATAAGATGAAAGTTGAGTAGACAAGACAATACATATATACGCATGAATCTGCCTAAAATGGTAGAAAGGAGTTTCAGTTCAGGTGGATGCCTTTGATCTTGCTGTGTTTTATTAACTCGGTGATTTAATTTCAGCCTTAATCGCCATTTTGGACAAAATCTTCAGCGCTTATATATAGGCATGGTTATGTTCGGTTTTTTATGAGCCATTTAAGACTATTTTTTCATATAGTTCACGAAAATATTGGTTAAAAGGTAGTTACAAAATGTAATAAGATACTCTGTCATTTGTTTACCAACTTCAATATATAAATACACCGGTTGTATCTTTCATTTAGATGTGAATACACACACACAACTGAAAACTAAGACATACTCATTGCCTAGCTTAAAGACAACAATTATTGGTGAATGACTGAAATCAATTAAGTTATGATTGAAAAGCATACAACTACTATTTTGACATAATGTAACTTGAATACTCTTATTTTGATGACAAGTTACTATTTACTCTGGTAAGACTATATAATATCGAGAGATTAATGAACAAGGAAAACAGCTCATTTACCAGGTACATATTCATGTATTTGATTTCAAGCAGACTTTAAATGTAAGATCAAGTGATGCTAAGCAACTTCTCAAACTGAAGTAATTGATAGTTTGAACCTATGAATTAATCACTGAACCAACCTCACTAATGAACAATGAAATAATATAGAACTGCAAGATTATCATGTATCGGTTCAAAGTGTCATTTGCAACTGAGTCACAACAAGAAAATTCGAAAATAGGCACACAGGAATAATGTTTCGAATGATTTAAAGAATATACAAATATAATAGTATGCTCAAACTATAAACCGTATTAAAATGATTTGATGAATTGATCGAAGGTAGACATGTACACCATTGGATACAGGCTCAGTGGTCTAGAGGTTAGGTGTTCACGCGCGTAACCGAAGGTCTTAGATTTAATCTCCTGAAGTGCGGTCATAGATGGGCTCTTTGTAAGACTTACATACTAAGACGAAACGGTTGTCCAGTGTTTCCATGTTTTTAATAAGTTGTCTAAATTATGTATTGGTTTGTGTTCTTAATGGAATGATTTCTATCTTATTAATGAATCCTCAACTGTTATTTTCATTATTATTTATCCAGACATCAACAACTGAAACAAAAGATTAAAATACACAGACCTGATTTAGTTTGGCAAAGAAAAAGGATAGCTTCAATAACATTAACACTGATAATATGGTTCCTGGTCTTTTTTAACAACATAAGGTCACTTAAAATATCTCCTTAAACTTAAAATGATGAGGAAAATGAAAATTTTAAGATAAAACCAACCAACATTTAATAGGCGTATAGAGAGATCAACCAACTGGGAAACAAGTACTACAATGATAGTAAAGACGAGGGGGTCAATTTAATGGTTATTATTGAACTATTTGCTACTAAGATCCAAATCACACTACATTTTATTTATCTATTTTCAAAACATTATATCTGACATTTCAAGTCTCAGCTTTTATGACTACAAATTACATAACGGTATTGACACAGTGGATCGCATGATACAACAGATATACGAACTGGAAATTCAGTATAACTATAGTTATTTGACTATGAAGCTTCCCGGATGATGCATTGGATTGCTGTAATACATGTCATAAATGTACTACCTAAACAATTATTGAACTAGTAAACTTAGAACAATCTTATATCACATGTTTGTTCTAATATTACTATTTATATCAAATTGATCAGGCCTGTAGACAGGCGTAAATTCTGTAATCATTATTTTCAGAATATATTATTATTTTCTTTTCAACTAATAGTTTGTCAGCTCGAATCCTACCTTATGAGTTTAAGTTTGGGTAATCAAGTAATACTACAATATCAAAAAATTGAATCTCGAAGTCAAGTAAATAAACCTAAACTTGGTTAGTGTATTGGATCCGTTTAATTGTTAATGTTTAGCTAAATGGCATTAATACAAAAGAGAATACTATTGAAGAATGAGAAACTTGATGTTTGTCGTTGCTTAATACAATCAAAAACTATTAAGAAATACTTGTAAAACAAAACTGATCTACATTTGTTTACGGTACATTTCGATCCGGAAAGCTACATGACAAGAAATAAACGTAATTCATCGGCAAAATATGGGTTATTGTATCAGGGACTAGGTGTTAAATTTTTGTCAATATTAACACCTGATTTTAAAACTTAAACAGATGATAAAATCAGTAAATTATTGAGTTTACTCACATTAGACTAGCTGGTTTAAAAGTCTAAAATATACTTTCAAAACGGTAAGATAACCGACAGTATTATAAATTATTATTTCTAAAAAATGAATGAGGCTGCCAAAATACAATATCTATAACAAAAAAGGTGAGTTTCATATCTTATGGAATGATAAAATTTAGTGGAATTTCAAGATATCCCGCCTTATTGTGGACATGTTGAGGTGCAGTGAAGTATTTACTCCTCTATATAATAACTATCCAATTCTTTTTTGTATTAACACTGTGAGTTATATCTCATATTTTTGTTAACATTTGATGCGATATCATGGTTCATTGAAATTGACTTTTAATACTGTTTGTTTCTGTGTTTAATAGTTTGTAGAAAAAAAAGTAATTTTACGGATGAGGAAAAAATCATTAAGTAGTTTTCACTGAGAATCTGGTCTCATGAGCAGCTACTACTCAGCCGTATTGTATTATTGTGCGCTAACTGTTGATCAGCAATATATTTATTTATTTTAACAGTTCAATGTTTTACCCAACGCTTTGAATTTTCAATCTGGAAGAGATCAGCTGGATAGTAAAAATAAGCTTTTATGTAAAATAATCCACGTACAGCTTAGCTCACATAAATCCTCATCTTATTCTTTGCTAAACTATCAGCCTTTTGTAAACCAGTTGACAGTGCATCTTTAAGATACAACTTATTGTAGCCGTGAAAAAAAACAAATGAAGTCAGAATGTTTCAATCAATTAAAATATTACAGATAACATATACTTACCGACAATGATGGGCACGAATAGGTTTAATAGTAAGGCACTTTGTGCAACGTATAGGAGGGGCAGATAAATAAGAAGAATACTGTTGTAAACATTTTGCAAATGCCTGATTTGCTGCACCGATTGGGATGCTACCCTTATAAACAATTTAAAATGGAAAGGAGAAAAAGATTAAATAAATGACTAAAAATATTTCTGATAGTAATATCTCAGACTGTAGAGCTAAGTGACGCGAATTCGAATCCCAGAGAGAGAAGTTTCCTCATGACTCCGAGTACGCTTTGCTGACAAGTGGAAATCAGAATGGGAATTAGACCCATAGATTCCTACCGAGTACGTTCAGTCGACAAACATTAAAGCATACTGCATACGATGTTGAGTGACTTGGACTGGTGGTCATATAGCAACCCAATCTATAGAGTTCGACCACCACTAAGGACTCAAAAAACATGGCATTGGTACCTAACCAGAATAATTACAGATAAGTGGTCACGGTCCGCGTCGAATCACGGGTAGCTGTATACAGTACAAGATTTATACATTTTGTAAATGGTATTCACTATCTTCAGATAACAGGGTATTTTATCACTAAGCAACCCAAGTAATTGGTGGCGTTTAATGTTGTGAAGCGTTTCCAGAGAATATGATTATTAATATTGATAGCAAACCTAAAGAGGACATATATATCATAGTAATCAGAAGGTAGTTACGTTCATTTCAATAAAATATGGCAACATTAGTCATGGTACAGTTGACCTACAACTGATTCTTCATTACACTCTGCATGAAATCACTGTGTTTAAATGGCTTGACATAAAAGACTGCATATCTGGTAGTGGTGAAGTGAATTTATCTTATTTGTTCGGTAAATGACAGAAACAACGCTTACTGTCACTAAAACATGAAATGTATGGTCACCGAAGACACTTTACTATATTGAAAACCGTCCAGTTAATAATTACATATCATATAGGTTTACATATATATATGGAAATGATTCATTACACTACATTATTTTATGTAGTTGGAAAAGAATCAAAGTTTGAAGGCACTTTAACTAATTTGTCTCAAAGATCAAATCCACTGCTGACAAGCTCATACTAAACATCCAACCAGCCAGATTTTGGTTAACTTCGTAGATTGCACGAAGGGAAAAACAACTATTATTAGGGTTTTTACTTCAGTGTATAATGGTTATAACTACAAGTTAACAGAAGACAGAAAACATTTTTGCACTATTTATGGAATATGCATTCACTTAATTGAAAACTTAGATTTCCATAAACGAACTTTGACACGTTACATTGTTGTATAACCCTTCTAACAAATACAACTCGGTTAGGATTCTATATAGATTGTACCTCTTAGTGGTACCGAAGTACAATGTAGTCCATTTACGGTTTCACAAAAGTTTGGTGTCAAATCTTTCGACCACCTCTTCATGTATCACTTGATATGCAGCTGATTTCAATCTTTTAATTGACTGCTAAATAAGTAGTAAAAATATTATTTGTTCTACTAAGCTTTTAGTTACTTCATCCTTATTGTCAGGAATGTTATTGATATTTGTATAAGAATGCTTCTATTTCAGGTATTAAAATTAAGCACAATGTTGCGTTAAGTTGATTTATCAAAAGTGAGAGAAAATCGGCAAACATAAGATGGGAAAATGATCATCGGTCGATCATACGTACGAGGTAACAGGAATGGATATCATTTCAAATTGTTACACCACACACGAATAAAGCAAGAGAAGAAATTAACAGAATGATCACTAGCTATAATAAATTGGAAGTCGGATCCAACAAAACAACAAATATCAACTTCGAAGCATGTTAATAAACATATCCAACCATAGCCTTTGTATATCTCTCAATCGCAATCAGTAAATTAATAATAACTTAAATTTGAGTTACAAGACAATAACATTACAAAACCAGCTGGTTATACTGACACTTTCTTAATCTAGTTTCTTATTTTGACATGCGCTAAAATGTCACCAGATGTTAAAATCTCAGCCGACTGTTTTATTTAATCATTTCAGGACTTAACAGGATTCACTCGGACTTGTAGTCAAATATCCATTGTCACTTCATATCACAGACCTATAACGCTAATGATTATTTTGTAGAAGTACAGTTCAGGAGAGAATATTGCTAGGCTAAACACAAATGATAAAGCTCAGATGGATATCTGAACCATACAATTAGAGGTTAGAACACCAGTACGAGAACTAATCCTTATAAAAATAAATGCAGTATATAAGGTTGACCATTCAAATTCCTACTCTTAAGCACCAAGTGAACCAGCATGCACTCATACCGGCAAACATTGAGACTGTATCAACCAATAGATTAATAATGCTGATATTAAAGAACATTATAGTCCCAGATTATGTAACAATTAGCTTATTGGTAGTTTTCAACAAAAAAAACGATTACAGTACACTGTAGACAATAAAATAGTGGTTAATAACTTACTGGGTCTGTGCTGAATGCTTTGAAATGGGAAACTACTGCCAGGATGGCAAACAAATGATAAATCGTTCCACTAGTCCAGTAAAAGGCATGTGATGGAGAGTGACTTAGTATTATGAAGTCTATTACAAACTCTGCATACAGAATAAGTAGCCAAGTGATAAAAATACAAGTAATCCCACAACAATCGTTAACAAACCAGATAACACCTAATGTTCGTTTAAGAGGCCGCGAATTTACAGAGCGAGTAACGGCACGAAGGCCAAGAGAACGTCTACACGGAGATAAAAAGTCGTATAAATCTCCAGAAGGAAGAAATGATACACGTAATTTCCCCGCTGCTTCATCATCCCACGAATTTAAATCTAAATCACGAATGCCACGGTATCGAGCAGGCGCTGTATTAGGATCTAAATTGATGTGAACGGTTTCTTTGTTCAGTGTTTCTTGTGGATAAGATGAAACAGATAAATTCTTTCTATAAACGGAAGGAATCGAATTCATGTTGCCATGGTCTGAAACTTGATTGTCTAAATGTGAAAGTTGAAAAAGTAATCAAATATGTAACATAAAATGTTTCATTTAAAATAAGTATTTTAGGTTGATGTGAAGAAACGACATAAAAATGTTTTCAGATCATATCAGATATTTCCCGAAAACACGAGTTAATACTTAAACGATCTTAAGGACCAGTCAACTAAGCTTCGAAAGTGTGCTGTTTACTCATATACAAATACATTCGCAGAGAAACATACATGGCGGTTCAAAGCATGCTCATGACTAGAACTCGGTTTATGAATGTAGTGCAAAAACATACCACTGAACACTAAATCTACTAATGAATGGCAACGATTTATAACCTTTTATTCAGAAACCTCTATCAAACTTTTTAGAACATTGAATATGCTACTACCTCATACTCACAAAACATATAACTAAATAAATTACTGCTTGAATGTGAATAAATTTCTTCTAGTGACATGAAGGCTGAAGTCCTAGTTCGTATGTTAAGAAGTGGGTCAAGGAAGTTTAGACGATACTTTTCAAGATAACTATCAGAAATACGATTTTAAAAATTTAAGCACAATGTCACACGAGTTAACAGAACTTTACGACTCGCGTAGTGGCTTTCATTAACTACTTGTTCAACTGATAACCGGTGGGAACTATATACAAAAGCCTTTTCTGATCACGAGGTTAAAACCATGGATTTTGCTATGAAAAAACTAAGGTATTGATGTATGTTTACAATGAAGATGTACCACAGAACACCAGAATTGTAATCAAGGAGCAAAGATTCGGTTACTCGTACAGTAAAGAGGTTGTAAATCAAAAGGCTCTGCTTTCTTCGGCCCTACTTAAGAGAAAGAAACCTGAAAGATGATAGATCCATGACATATTCTGGACTTAATAGTTGTTTTAATATCATAAGAGGAAAGGAATAAAATAAACTACTAGAATGAAATGAAGTCTTATATATGGCTATATGGAAGCTTAAACTTATTACCCTTATCTATGCAATGTTCCAAATAGCAAAGAAATCATAAAATTAAGAAAACTTAATTCTGTTGATGAAACAAAACAATCACAATGGTACTCTGGATAAACAAAACCCAAGAAAAATTGAATGTTTCCTATTAATGTCACAAGGGGTTTTGTGGATTAGTTCACAACTATTTACTAACATTAAGGACAACCTAAAATAGATGAATCAATATTAAAATTCGTAAAAAATATGTCTACTCATATTTTAGGAGGAAAGCGTAAATTTATATATCTATATATTGACAAATAGATCCTAAGATAATATAAAATACTGTCTGAAAGAGGTTTTTGATTTAGAAGCATAAGTTATGTATTGAATCAAGAACGCAAGGACAACTACAAAATAGGGATTTCGTTACGATATTGAGAATTTTAGGACGAAGTATTTCAATTAAATGAGGCAACAAGAAAGAATCACTGGTTTTCACAAAGGATGTACGAAACAAAGTCCAGTACATCTGTAAGTGGTAGATGAATACAGGGAGATTAGCTACCACATTCAAAATAGATGGAAAGAAATATCGGGTAAGTTCACTTTGGCGAAATAAGACTAGGCATCGTAGAATATACATGAAAATTTGGAGTGAATGCATAAAATATACCAAAGGTTTTAATCACCTGCTCTACGAGTTTAAATGTTCATGTCATCTTCCGACTTTTCCAATTGGGCTGATTTATCATTCAAACCTATAAGCTACTAAAATCACTTGACCAGTATTTTACACTTTAGATCAAATATGATGAAGCATAGTGTCTGTGGTTTCTGGAAGACGGTCAAATCCTATATAAGCTCCAGGCATACTGTGGTGTGAATGAACTAATGGTTATTTTGTACTTGTTGAATGCTCGATTTCGAATTCCAAATACAGTACATTCGTTCGTGCTTATCTAGTACTTCTTGATCCGATTACGTTACTTCTGGGATTCCTAGTTCGTACTATGATTCAAATACTCCTAATCATCATACATATGCAATTAAAGATATGGGACACATCCACCAGACTAAAATCGCACAGACATCAACATATTATGGAAAGTCTACGTAATGACGCAAGAACGAAATGAAAATATTGATGATGGTAATATCCAGTATATTGATGTACATTGAATGTTTTTTTCCTCTAAACAAAAAATTCGAATGATGTGAATATCATTTTTAGTGTGTGAAACAAAATAATTCCAATAAAAACTTAAAAGAAAACCAAGATGCATACCGATGGTAAGTTTTTCATCTGCACTTTGTAACAACGATTCCGAAGAGTTCTGATTCATATGTTGTGCTCTATAATCACGAAGGTTGCATTATGCAGCAACTAGGATTTGGAATTGATTCATCTTGAAACAACTAAATGTACCGAATATGTTGAAAGTGTAGACAACGTCCAATACCCAATTTCAGTTAGCAATAATCAGTAGTAAGGATAGTATGTCGTAGGTGCTGTGCTAATCATCGTACCTTTTCTCCATTGCAAGTTCGGTTCCTCTTTGATCGTGTTCCTGAGTGCGTCAGTATCCTGAACAAGGCATGAATGAGCGTTGCTCAGAAGTTAACAGAGTGTATGTTTCCAATTTACTTAGTAAATTAGCCAATTTTTTTCAAGTAACTTAGCCGCTATGCTGACATCATGTATATCTTTTAATATTTAATATAGCATTAACTATTGCATCATTCAAATCCCTAGGAGGTTGAGTTCGGAAAAGGGATATGTTGAACAGTACCGTATGTAGCTGTGAAGTAGTGTCTGCGAGGGATGATAGAGTTTGTTAATGTAGGCCACCAAGACCCGGCAATTTAAAAGTCTTGAAGTTAATAAGTAGTTAAAGAAAATCTCCTATAGTACATGCCCGGGCCCTACAGCTAGTAATGAGGATCGTTGTTACCAATTACCTTATGCTGGACTTCGCTGGCCATATCTGATTAAGCTAGTTCACATGGAGCTTCATGCAACGCTAATGACGGTGTCATATCAAACCCAAATAATTGATGGCTTCTTAGGAAGAACAAGTTTCATAAATGTTTTCTACCTCTTGGAAGACTTCGATTTTCATTATCAACCCATGGCAAGCAATGCGCTGTCTTACGTGTTGACCATAAAATGGACGTTAATGTTACTGATTGGAGCGTGACTTTACAAATCTTCGATTGGTCATCAATCAATAAATATACACTGACTAACCAATTTTCTAAGATAGAACAGTGTCTGATTACTAGAATGTTAGCCCGTCAGACATTTGGACGAGGTGGAGGAGATCATACCGTAATTTATATGTCTGAAACCTAACGTGCAGTACAAAGTGAGCACTGGTCGCTAATGAGAACTGGTCCTGGGTTTTGATGACATCATTACAATGGTGTGCAATAGCGAGGTTCAGCAATGGTAGTTGACTTCCTAAGTCAATACGAGTCGGTTTTGCGAAACTTCGCACAAGTGCACACTGAATAATGGTCTACAGCAGGACCCCATCAAAACATTGACGTAAAGCTGTCAGCTTTATCCTGTTGATGAGTAGCGTGTTGAAATCTCCGACAATGCAATGACAAGCAGCCTCACTGCAAGAACAAACATCATTTAAGACAAAGTCGTCAGCAAGACAGTATGGAATACAGTATGCTAATACTACAGTCACTAACACACGTCTGGATTTAATTTATCGACAAGCTACCTCAAGTGTACCACTAACTTTTGTCATGTGTTCACTCTTTGTACATCTTTGTGATGAGCTTATGTAGAACAACTTACCTATTTGCCCTCAATTATTGGTGTCGAGATAAAATTCCGAGCCATTGACATTGTTAAGTGCGGATGCACTCATCCTTCGGCTGGTTGACTCAACAGGGCTCATGCTTGTAAACCTGGTAGTTATTCGGAGGTTGTATCGAATACATATAGGTGGAAACATCGTAGGATGCCGGCTCAGAAATCTAATGGTTAAGTGCTCGCACGCGAAGCCAGTAGGTCCTGGGTTTGAGCCCCGCGTGGTGCGAGGTGCTTCCAGGTTTTCAATGGTGGTCTAGCTTCAACTGACTCATGATTTAAATCTGTGAAATTTCTAATATCTCCACAAAACCTATTCTGAAAACATATGTTCTAGAATGGCGAGAGTCTTGGATAAGTTCAACCTGTATTCCTCAGATAATCGTCTCCCATTTTCTCCATGTATTTTCTTCACTTTGCACATTTTAGCTGCTCAACTTTCCAGATTGTAATAGGAAAATATGTGCTTTCAGAATCCTTATTGCATTTTGACGAACTCACAAATAACCATCAAAGTGAGTCGAACTTGTTCAGTCGAGTGGCAAGACAATCACCTACTGGACATCACAAAGATCTAAAGCTGCATTGAAACAACGATGAGCAAGCCTAAACTAAGAATGGTTTTTAAAAGGTTCACGGAGATATTGGATGTTGGGTCCCCGAACACAACAGTGGTTGCCAAAAACCCTGCATGTGACTCGACCCACGTTAAGAGAGCCCAAAAGAACCAGGCATCACCGCCTAAGCCGAGCAACCCAAGTGTTGCTGCACGGAAAATAACTGGTAATTTAGTCGCACAGTCTACCCCCAAGACTGTTCGTCCGGTCAATAAAGAGCCCATGATTCATAAACGCACACTGACCTCCAAACAACAAGTTACTAAACCTGAACCCATCGTGAAACCTGGTAAATTAACAACAGTTCGTGACGATTCTCTCATTATCATGAACCTCGTTGACAATCCTGATCTTCCTCTCAGTCTGCAGGACAAAAACGACAGGATGCTCTGGGGTGAATTGAACAAGAAGCTCGAACTTCCTAGAATAGAGCCTTTGACGGTCACCCGGCTCACTCGAGGAAAGGATTCTAAGCATCTAAATCACCCGAGGCTTCTCCGAGTAACACTTAAGGCTGCTACCGACGTAGAGGACGTATTGCTAGCAAGCCACTTGCTGAAATCAGATGGTAACGTAAGAATACTGCCCGACATACCGTACTCTGAGCGCAGTATCATACGAAACGTTCCTAAAGAATCTCGCGAGAAGTTTTTCCGCGGAAGAAACATAATTGTCCAAGGTATACCGGAAAATGCAGACCCTACTCAATCAAATTCTGACATCAGGGAATGGAAATTCATCAAACAGTCCTTGAGGCTCAAACACATACTGACTCAGCATGTGACGAGACTAGCCAAGAAGGACGGTGATCTTAGACCCCGTCTAATGAAGATAACCTTCCCATCTTCCCACATGGCGGCTGCAGTTCTGGAAGCATTTCGTGCTAATAGACGTCGATTGCCACCTGGAATCCACATGCACCCGGATAGGCCATACGAAGTTAGGACCAAGAACAAAGACAAGTTGGAGCTGACCATTCCACTTGTGGACTGTCTAAACGATAAAAAAACGTGTAAAGGACAGGGCCTACCACCTCGGCAAACCTCACATAGGTGGGGTACCTGTCCATTCACATAAGGTTCATACAGAAAAACAGGACGAAGCTCACGCGTTCCAAATTGAAAGCATAAACTGCTTATATATGAACGCCGCGAGCCTACCAAACAAACTGGATGAACTACGTGAACTTAGCAACGCTAATAAGGCCCATCTGATAGGAATATCTGAAACCTGGATATCTTCTCAGTTCTCGGACCAAGAGTTAGCATTGCCTGGGATGACTTTGTTCCGCAACGACAGAAAAACAGGAATTGGGGACGGAGTAGCCATATACATAAGCTCTTGCTTGGAGGTGCACCAGGTTCACAACCTCGAGTTTAACAATCTTGAGGAATCCATATGGTGCTCTGTAAGATTGTCTAGTACTTCCAGGTGTCTAGTCGGAGTCATTTACAGGAAGCCAACTGCCGACACCGAGTACGACAGTCGTGTGCTGGGAGGACTATCCCGCTCTATCCATCTCGGTTTCACACACATCCTGATTCTAGGGGACTTTAATCTCCCTAGAGTCAACTTCGCGGAACACACGTACACTGGAGGCGACAACTCAACTGAAGCTCGGTTCTTCAACCTCATCGATGACTTGGGCTTATATGAAAATGTGAGGTCGGCAACTCGTTGGAGAAACAGTCAGACACCATCGCGCTTAGACTGTGTATTCACTAACGAAGAATTCCTAGTCGACAACCTCTCAATCCTGGCTCCTCTGGGAAAAAGCGATCATGCCGTCATAGCCTTCAGTTTTGTCATCAAAACTAGGCTAAGGTATCCCAACAATAATTTGCGTTGGAATTTTAAACGGCTGAATGTGCCAGCTCTACATGACTATCTACAACAGGTGGTTTGGGATGTTCACCCTCAACTCGATGTGGATGGTCATTGGGACTTCTTACTGCACACGCTCTTATGTGCTACAAACCATTCAGTTCCTCAAACGGTTCCCAAAAGCTTCAAGCCACCTACAGTAATCAAGAACCGTACCCTTCGCCTCCTAAGCCGCAAACGGCACTGTTGGGCGGAATACAAACGAACTAATAACGATGGAGCGTATAGGCAATACAAACATATCAGGAACACATGCACGAAGGCTATAAGAGAAGACAGGCTTCAGTACCAAACAAAGCTTATGGACAAATTCGCCTCTAACCCTAGAAGCCTATTCCGTTACGCAGCCTCTCTTCGTCAAGGCAAAGCAGGAGTTTCTCAACTGCTAGGTCTTAACGGCCCAACCAACAACGATGGCGACGCCGCTAACCTTCTGGCGGCCCATTACTCTCAAACATTTCAACCGGCTGACATCAACTTTATTGACGACAGTTTCATCTCCAACTCCACAGGACTTTCTGAAGTGGACCTAAGCGCTGACTTGGTGTTCCGGAAATTGCAGCACTTAAGACTTGACACTTCTCCTGGCCCGGATATGGTTCATCCTGCCATACTGAGGGAGGCAGCCTCAATCCTGGCAACGCCGCTTAGCGTGATGTTTTCACACTCGCTTAGCCGAGGCAAATTACCGGAAAACTGGAAGTTGGCTCACATCACACCAATTTTCAAAGGTGGTCGACGCAATGAACCTTCAAGTTATCGGCCGGTGGCTCTTCTGTCATTACCTTCAAAACTCATAGAGTCCCTGATATGCGACGGTTTAAATGACTATCTACTGTCCTTAAATTTCTTCTCACCCCAACAGCATGGTTTCAGGAAGGGTTACTCTTGTATAACCAACCTGCTGACTGCGGTGGACAAATGGACAAGCATCCTCGATTGCAAGGGAAAGGTTGACGTCATTTACCTTGATTTCTCAAAAGCTTTTGATAAGGTTAACCACTTGTGTCTTATCAACAAGCTCAAACGACTAGGTATCAAACCACCTCTAATTGATTGGCTTACTTCATGCCTAAAAAATCGACACTTTAAGGTTAGGGTTAATTCCACTTTATCTCAGGCTATGGAATGTCCTAGTGGGGTCCCCCAGGGCTCAGTACTAGGGCCTCTTCTCTTCTTGATCTACATAAATGATCTTCCTCAACAGGTAACGTCAGACTTACTACTTTTTGCCGACGACGTGAAACTTTGGAGAGAGATACGCAACCAAGACGATACACGGGCACTTCAGGAGGATCTGACGCGACTTCAAAGTTGGGCAGACGATAACGGACTTACCTTTAACACTTCAAAGTATAAAGTAGTCCATCTGCGACATGTCGCAAACTACAGTTACAACTTAGGAAACTCCTCTCTAGTAGTATCCCAAGTCGAAAAAGATTTAGGAGTCCTGGTGCCCCATGACTTAAAGTCTTACGCTAACTGTGACAAAAATGCCTTCCGAGCAAACCTTGCACTGGTAACGTTGAAGCGCATTTTTGGCCAGTTTGACGGAAGAACTTTCCACACAATCTTCAATAGTTTCATCCGTCCCCATTTAGAGTACGGAAACATAGTACTCCCCCCTCACTCCATAAGGACAAAGTCACTTTGGAGCGTATCCAACGGCGAGCCACGAAATCAGTTCGAGGACTCAAATCTAAGCCTTACGAAGAACGCCTCCGTTCACTAGACCTTTACCCACTAGAATATAGGCGTCTTAGAGGTGATTTACTAATGGCTTATAGCATTCTTAACACTTCTGGACATCCTCTTAAACACCTACTTAAGCTTAGTTCGAATAATAACCTAAGGGGTAACACCCAGAAACTGGAAACACAACATAGCAAGACGGAATGTAGACACAACTTCTACTCCTTAAGAGTTGTCAAAAGCTGGAATTCGCTGCCGGTCGAGCTAGTCCAAGCGACTTCTCAGGAGTCCTTCAAGAGGCAACTTGACCTATTCTTAAGGACCAAGGACAGCATCACATTATGATTTACCAATTTCTTTTCCTTTTTTATTGTTAACATACCTAGGTTCCTGCCTGGAGGATTTGGTGATCCCCTGCTACTAGACACGGAAGCCTGTTAAGCGAAAGCTTCTTCTATTCCGTCCACAACCATTTGAACCATTTGAACCGTTTGGACGCCTGGTACTCAAGGGGATATTCAAATATCTGCGTAACGTTCATGAGGATCTGCAATCATGATTCTTGCACTTATCACTTTTGTGTATAAGCTAAAAATATTCGTCCTTAAGATCCTCCAGCTGCTTCTATTAAAGTCTTCCCTGAGTGCCTATTTTCAGTCTTCCTGGTCTGATCTTGAAAAAAATCATACGAAGTTACCGAAAATACCACAACATATATCATTTGTGATTTTTGAGGAAATATTCTCTGCACAAGATATTGCAAATTTAGTAATATGGTGCTCAGCGATCGGTGTTTCGTACCTTTCACTGTCTGATATGAAGGGTGAGCTGAAATACTGAGCTAATGTTTGAAGGCAATATTTTGCATCTAAGAGATAGTGTTGAACAGTTTATCAAAGAAAAAAACTACTCTGTAAAGAAGAACAAGGAAGCCAAATCTTCTGTCATATACAGTCCTTTGAGTCGTGGTAATCACTCCGAATTCATGTCTTTACACCATCTACAGTACTGTCAAAAATCACTGTGAACTATCTTGGTTGTGATGATGGATTTGATCAGATATGTCAGTCTGCACGTTACTTAAGCACATCTGCCAGTACTCTTACGGATGAAAAGGTCAACCAAACGATTGCTGGTCTGTTCACTCAATGTTTAACCTTATTTTTAGAATTAACTAAAGTTCCAGATGTTGACCTCACTATTCACTGTGGATTGTCTTCAAGTTTCTCTGGTCTTTTGCCATGGCAAAGTCGGTTTTCGGAGTTCATGTATGTACTAGTGGTCTTAGAGTTCATATTTCGTACTTAATAACGTTAAGCGTTCAGTAAGATGTGAATATTCGTCTAAAGTAGTTCAGACCTTTTGTTCTACTCGACCACTCTTTATACGTACACTGTATATTTTAAAGCACAGTTGAGTCATAATTAAGACCACGTTCCAATTAAATGTGTCGTTAATCTGTGATGTCGATGAATGCAGACTACATAATATTTGGAAGCTCAATAGCTAAAATCTTTAGTTGATGATTTTGCATAATAGGGTTTTAAATTAGTAATTGTGGCTCAGATTCACTCTCTACCGTCTCCTTTTCTTCGACTTTTGCATATTGTTCTAACGATCAGTTCAGACAACAGATTTACTTTCTGTTTATTAGTCATTTTTTTATCCCAGTCTTCATGAATCAGTCAAATATAGTCGATTGCTATTTAGGGAGCATTACACTCCTATAGTGAAAGTCAGAAGACACTATTCCGAAGTTCGGTGTCGGTTTAGTAACTAGTCATTTGTTAATTATTGAACTAGGATAAATGAAACATGTATTGCATACTGGCAATATCCATGTTAGTGTTGAATTTTAGCCCAACGAAATACTAATGAGATCATCAGTATTGCTCAAATATCTGGGCATTTAATCTTTCCTAGATTTCGGGATGACTGGCATCAGCGATCGGGAATAATCACAAACTAATCGTGAAATCCTTTTTTTAAGTCACTCTTCGGCATACAGTGTGCGTTGTTGTCCACAAAGACGATAGAAGCGTTTCAGCTAAACAGTTCAGGTTAAGGGACCTATTTGACCTTCTCTTCAGTAACTCATTTATATTTGATTTCCTGTCGTTCGTTATTACAATGCACATCTAGGACCCCACACTTGACTAAGTCTAGGGGATTTGGTTCTCATTAAGCGGTTTATACATTTAAAATGATTAGAAACCTACTGATTCGTGAAGTTCGGAAACTATGAGTAAGCTAACTGTAAATGTTTCTGTGTGTATTCGTCAATATTAGAACGAATAATTCATCAAAAATTAGGCACCGAGTATAGAGAAGCCATTATATGCGAAAATTATATTTGAAATAATCTCAGCGATTGAAATCCAAATAATTCCGACGTTTCATCCATCAAACCAGCTGGAATTTTTTGAATTTCAATCGCTGAGATTGTTTCAAATATAATTTTCACATATAATGTGAATGTTTTTTGTTTCATTTTATGTATAGCTTTCAAATTTTTTGGGTATCATTGTAGCAATTCCTCTGCTTCTTGTCGTGCTGCTTTCATTTTTTCGCTTTGCTAGTTTATATGTAGTAACGAACATTCATGTCTTGCTCCACGTTGCCTGTGACAGACTGAATCCTCGAAATAGTCAGAAACACCGGCGTTTTGAGTTGACAGCGAGATTTTAAGATGTTGGAGTGCTTGAGACAAACTAAGTATGGTAAAGGTTGTTGTATTGTTGTAAGCAGGGATTTCCTAAAAAGTTCCAAAAACTACCAAACTTCCTTTGGAGCACAATTAAGTAGTTCCATGCATTGTCCCTGTTGTTTCAGCAGGTTTGTGCATCGATAATCATTTCACCTCAGTATCTGCTTTCGTGCTTAGACTCGCTCTAACTTCACTTACAATGAAGCTGAGAGCATTAGAACCTCATAAGCCTTGACTGGTCAAGTGAGTCTTCTATATACACTCGACTTGTTGAAAAATCAATTTTTGTTGTTATTTATTCAACTCTAATTTGTCGGGTTAATTTTGAAACTTTCTTTCTATTTGTTATCTATGTTGATAATTTGTTGCTAGACAATGTCCTTCTGTGCGAGGCCTTCGGCTGTCTGACTTCCATCAAATTGTATGTCGTTTTGGGATGGTCAAACAACGCTGGGGTCGTTGAAAAGATTTCGCGATTCATTTCTATACACATAGTCATAATAATCACTCTAGTAACAACTGTCATGTATTTCTGTTCACTGTTAGACTATTTCAGACTGCTGTCAGTAAAAACTACTGCTATGTTAATAATGTATGATTAGTTCTCTACTTTACTCTATCAAGTCCTTCAATATATATATATATATATATATTTGTAACCTGTACCATTTTATACTACTCGTATTTGTATGAAAAGAATATTGATGTTATTTTACTTCCTCTTTTTTCCTCGCACTAAAACTGTACAGTATGATAATAACTAAACCGATGGCAATACTGTTCACAATTTTCAGTAACTTTTCTCCTCTGTGTTGTTCACTGACTTAATGAGCATGTACATACGAGCTATATTTATCTGACTAGGTTTTTTGTGTTTATTACTATTATTGTTATTCCAATTACACTGGTAGCAACAACTTCTTTAAATATAAATAACTTATTTTACTACTTTTTCTGTTCTTCTTCAAGTTTACTTAGCGACACTCGTCACTCTTCTGAAATTAGTCATTCGAATATACTAAATACGGGTAACTAAAAGACAAAGTCGAGGCATTCATTCACGATACGCATCAGAGACTTTAATTACAGTTCTAAGCATTAATAACAAAAGTGCGAACTGTCATTAATATTTTCATCTCTGAACAAGTTAATAGTTATTTGGACTAACCAACTTCATAGGTGATACATTGGATTTAAGATTTTCAGGAACTGGATCCGAGTATGTGTAAATATGAAGGGGTAAATACGTGCATCTGACGAGTCCCTTATGAGTTATATGCACCTTCTGCTTCCCACCGTTACAAACCATTTATTTATTATTTATTTATTTTAACACAGATATTGGTACAAGGAGGCACCAAATATATGCGCCACACAGATCTCATTTGATATATGTGAGTGCTGTAATGCTGCCCAGACCGAAGTAGGTGGTTTTCTTAGGGGGCCAAACCCAGAGCATTCGACATAAAGGTCTAATCCACAATGCAGTGGAGCGACGTAAGGAGATCCAGTCCCATGGTAGCCAATGATCAACGATTGGTTCCTACGCCATTTGTTTCTTCAGGATCGTGGAGCCCATGTGCACCATTGGTTTGGAATCAGGGTTTTCAAACTCCCCTAGGTGGACTGTCCATGTCCACCAACCCGGTTATAGCTCCTGGCATTCGCTTTTCGTTCTCTCAATTTCGTAAACAACACCCCTGGTGAGAGAAGGCAGTGGGTAGGGGTCTTCAATCCCATCCTGCAGAAAACAACCTTGGAAAAAAAAGTGACCAGAATAAACAAATTAATCCATTTAAACTCTGCCCTCCGAGTTCAAGGAAGAATTTTAACGCCTCACGAAGAAGCCCGAGATTCTTTAGAAGTCACAAGGCCGATTCCCCTCCTTACAACCAGAGGAACAATTTTTCTAGGTACATGGAATGTCCGCACAATGTGGGAGACCGGGAGCAGCCACCGAATAGCAACGCAAATGAGGAGGTACAACTTGGCGGTTCTCGGAATCAGCGAAACCCATTGGACCCAAGTTGAACAGCAAAGGCTATATACGGAAGAGATGCTGCTCTGCTCCGGTCCTAAAGACGAAAATGCTCTGCACACCTAGGGATTTGCTCCGATGTTGTTCAAAGAAGCGCTCAATGCACTTACAGGATGGGAATCTCATGGATCCAGGGCCATCAGAGCGTCATTCAAAACAAAGAAGAATGGAATCACAATGAATATTATCCAATGTTATGCATCCAATAATGACAGCAACGACGATTATAAGGATCAGTTTTGCGAAAGGCTGCAATCGTTCATAGTGAAGTGCCCAGAAAAGTACCTGATCGTCGTCGTGGGAGACCTAAACGCCAAAGTCGGAAGGTTCAACACCGGGTATGAAGATATCATGGGACGATATGGGCTGGAAGAAAGGAACGAGAGTAGTGGGAGACTTGCAAACCTATATGCACTCACCAACTCAGTTATGGGCAGCATAGTATTCCCCCACGAACGCATACACGAAATTACATGGGTCTCACAGGATCACAGAACCAGATCGATTATATTTGTATCACCAAAAATTTCAGAAGTACAACGGAAGACGTGAGAAGAAGGTGAGGTGCTAATATAACATCAGACCACCACCCGGTGGCTGCCAACATGAAACTGAAGCTACAGAAGCATTGGACAAATGCATAATCAGCATTACAACGGTTCAACACAGTCATCTTTCGAGGTACTAACAAGCTCAACGAATTGAAGATAACTCAACAACAAGTTCCAAGCCTCACAAGATCTACTGAAAGAAGAAGAAGCTACTATGGAGGACAACTGAAAAGGGATCAAAGTAGCATTAACTTGAACGTGTCAGGAGGTTCTGTTCGGCAAGAAGCATCACTAAATAGAATGTCTCTATGGAGACCCTAAACAAGATTCAAGAAAGGAAGAACAAGAAGAAAACAATTAACAACAGCCGATCAAGAGCAGAGAAAGTGAAGGCACAAGCTAAATACACGGAAGCAAGTGAAGGATAGCATTGGATGGGACACGCCGCTATACATTAACTTCCTATGTATCAGTATTGTTCAAAACACACATAAGGGAAAACCAAGATCCTCAAATACAACACAGAGAACAACCCAATCACACTTGATGCAGAAACCCTGAAAGATGTGGAAGAGTTCATGAATCTGGACAGCGTCATCGATGAACATGGAGGATCTGATGCAGATGTAAAAGCAAGGATTGGCAAAGCAAGGACAGCACTCTTATAGTTAAGGGACATATGAAACTCAAAGCAATTGTCAACCAATATCAAAGTTAGAATCTTTATTACGAATATCACGACGGTTTTACTGTATGGAGCTGAAACGTGGAGAACTGCTATAACCATCATCAAGAAGGTACAAATATTTATAAGAAATTGTCTATACTAGATACCCATTGTCCGTTGGGTGAATACCATCAGCAACAATTTACTGTGAGACGTAACAAATCAGCTTCGAGTTGAAGAGGAAATTATAAAAAGACGCTGAGAGTGAATAGAAAACATATTACGGAAATCACCAAACTGCTAACTTAGAAGAGGAATATGAAGGAATACACTGCGTAGGAAATGGGAAGCAGACATGAAAAGAATGGATTGCCCAGGACCGAGTTTGGTGGTGACTGCTGATGAGCGACTTATGTTCCTACACTAGGTGTATAACGGGCGTAAGTTATTAACTAAACAATTAGTTATATATGATGATTAAAACAAAATTATTCATGATCAGTCATTTAAATCATAGTTTTTCAAAAATATTAGTGAAGTCATTAATCTGTTGTTAGTTTGATTTAAACAAACCAGCTAAATACCTTGAATTTCGTATATTTACTCACTACTTTTCACAAATCATGCTGCCTTTATTTCATGGTAATGATTTTTGCGAACATTGAATTACAAACGAGAAATAACACGTATTATTTTATTTTTTCTGTACATAAATACCAATAATTTGCTGGTTTCTATTCTTGCAGATTATCTACTATGTATGATATGTTAATGGATAATTATACTTAGTGAATTTTAATTATGGTGTTACTAGTTTTAAATCTCATCCAGTCGTTCAGTTTACCGACAACATGACATTGATGATCTCCAATATAATAAATATAACTAACAGAACTATAAGTTGCTTAACATCTCTCGAACACAAAATACTAAGTAAATACTGTTGTGACTTTAAGCTCGGCTAGTTATCATGTGGTTTATCCGCCAATCGAAATATGACTTATACAATATTCGCACTGTGCAAAACCAATGACGTTCGACCGGTATGAACAGCCTAGCGTCCTTATTGATCCATTGTTCCCCTAGCCCGTCCACTTGAGTCCAGAACACCAACACTAGCTTCTACTATGCGAATCATTTATTTCAAACATACTTGGTTCATGTACCAGTCGAACAGACCACAATACACCATAAAATAGGAAATAACATTTATACAGGATCCAGCTAGTAAGTGGCTATGAACGTGGGAGACTGTAGTCAATAAACTGAGTATAGCTTACGAACAGTAAATCGTACAATAATAATCTATAGATCAAACTAAAGCTTATAATGAGAGGAATATAGATATACACAATCTAGTTACTGAACAGTTATATAATAGGAATATGCATATAATATTAGCCCATTAATAGTTCTCGGAAGTTACTCGTATTTTATTTTTCGCTAGGATATAACACAACATAAAATCATTCAGGATGACCAATAAATAGCCAAACTCAATTCTTCTAAAATTTTCCTAACCTATTACTAACAAGCACTTTTTTCAACTTTTGAGAAATAAATATCTAGTAGTAATACATTCAGTTAAGTACTTGATTGATAGTACTGATCTTAGTTGGAAGAGGATAGAAAACTTGTGTCAGTCCTGAAGATGGAGGATATCACATATAATCCAACATTCTGTTGAAAATCTCTTCTGAACAAGCTCCGACTATTTGTTGACTACTTAAAATCCTAATAATGATTTATAATTGAATTAAACAACACTTCATATAATGGTATTTCGATGGTATAGAAAATGAACTTTATAAATAGAAACTTGAATAATGTTATTAGTTGAACGTTAATAGACAATTTTCTAATAATAACTTTCTAGGTCACATTGGAATGAAATCGATCGAACTACATTTTACACTGTAAGTTCATTAGGCTTAATAAATGCGAAATTATTTACTAGCATATGAAACTAAAATTTAGATTATTTATAGACTGATAGAGATATAGAAACTGTATCAACCTGTTAGATGGTTGAAGAGATCTAACACAATATCTAAAGATGTAGTTTTTATGCTATATAGCACTCTACAATCTTTAGAAATATGATGCTGTATTAAAGATTTTATTCCACAGTCAGGATCCTGCGAGTGGGATCGTTGATGCGCACTGCTGAGTCGCACAATAGTACGAAACGGCCGTCCAGTGCTTTC